CCTATGAAAACTTTCAACAATAATTAAGCTGTTCTGGTTGCTTTCAGGAAGTACTCAATATCTGTTTTCACAAATACTGATTTCAGCTAATACTCAACAAGTCTCAAGGACTGGCCAAATACACCTAGTCTTCCTGAGAGATTTCTAATCCTATACAGCTAAACGCTCAGCCTTTAGGTTCTTTTCATACTGCCCTTGAAGAAAATGTAACAGTCAATTGTTTCCTAACATTGATAGTCTACTGAAGTTTCATTTATTAATAATTTGCGAACAACTAATAAGTGATTAATACTTATTATCAGAAGGTTTCAGATGTGCATATCATGTACTACAAATACTTACAAACACATCTATGGACAAAGTTATAAGTTTCTATGTTTAGAAATAACCTATTAAGTTTTTGATGCTACAGGAATATATAAAGATTTATGAAGCAGTTAATTATTAGGACTTTCTAAGTTGCTTTAAAATGGAATTTTTAATATGAAATGTAGCCCTTTAACTATACATTTATACAACATCATCGTGGGACCTCTGAGCCCTGCTATATGACAAGCAACAAGTAATATTAGAATAAACCATAACACAAGCCACCCCTTTTGAGTTTGAGAAACTAAATTAGGAATAATGAGCGTTATGTAGTCATCTACCTGTATGTTTTGCCATTTTTAACACCCTCCCACTCCCCAGTTCACCAGAGCTCGTCAGCAGCTGCTCAAATATCTATATTTCTTTGAGCTTTACCAGATCAGCGCCATCATTTCCCAAGGCCTGCCTTTATTGCCCCAGATTCTTTTAACTCCTAAACCTACACACACAGCTGCTGTGTTGATTTTGGATTTTGAAAACAGAAGGGGGAAAAAAAAAACAAACACAGTAGTAATATGTCCTAACTCGTGGAGATGACTGCATATAGTAGAATGAAGATTTTGAACTTTCGCAACTAATATTTGCATTCTGTTTCTTTCTTTCATTAAATGACAGCGTGGGTGTCAGAGTGTGCGCACGGGCTTAATGTCATGTGTCTGGAGAGAGAGAGAGAGAGAGAGAGAGAGAGAGACCAGAGTCCTAGTCACAGCTCCGAGGACAGCAAATGCAGTTTACCCTGTGACTGCTCAGCAGGGTCTTGGAGCAGAGTGAGTGTATCACAGTGCTACGGCACAGCCGAGTCCAGCTCACCTGGGCTGCCTCTTATGAGCCCAGATAAATACTCTACGCCAGCTTCAATGAAAAACAGGGGACTGCCCTGACCCGGACGGGCGGATGGCCTGAGCGTGCTCTCAGAGGAACTGGGAAGGGTGGGTTCACACGCCCAACACACAAGAGAGGCTGCAGGGCCCAAGTATCCCACAGCCGGGAGAAGCACTCTCGAATCAGTTTTTTCC